GGAGGTGGAGGGGTTCAGAGGAACAGACTACTTAAATGTTGAGCAAGCAATCTCATTGGCTGCAGGATCAGCAGAGGCCAATCAGCATGCACTATACAGTAATGATGTGATTGCTTGGAGATTGCATGTAAAGGGCCGATTAGTGTGCGCCGTCTGGAGTTTCATGACTGAATGAGATATTTCTGTGAAAACAGACCATGTTTATTATCCATTGAGAAGACTTTTGGTAGATTGACAGAACTGACAGAATGGGAATCAGCCAATGTGCAGTTATTGACACTATCAACAGCAATTATTACTGTTTTATAATTGGTTGCAATACTAAAAACACATAGTATATTTCTTAGATTATTGTAATTCCTTGTATATGGGTCTTCCTCAGTCATCACGTGGTCGTCTCCACAAAATGCAGCTGCAAGGCTGCTGACCGGGACAAAGAAATTTGGTCATGTCACCCATATTTTTGCCACCCTTTCATTGGCACCCGGTTCATTTTAGAATTCAGTTTAAAATCTTGTTGTTTGTTTTTTAAGCTCCAGTTTACCTAACAGATCTTCTTTCCACTTTGCTTCTCTCCAGAGTAAGATCTGCAGACAGGGCTCTATTATCCCCCACTCTGGTTTAAAAACTAAGGGAGATAGAGCTTTTTCAGTTTCCGCCCCCCGCCTATGGAATCATGTACTACCTCTGGACATCCGCCTTCACCTCCCATTTACATTATCAAATCAAAATTGGAATCTCTTTTCCCAGGCGTTTTGATAGTCAATTTTATGTTTCTGTGTTGTTCTTATTTTATTTTTTATTTTTTAATTCATTACTATGTTCAGCACTTTGGATAGCTCCGCTATGGTTAAATGTGCTTTATGCATAAAATTTACTTACTTCTTATAATTATTTATTTTTAACTAGTAGTTTTTACCAGAGTTAATATTATAACTGAAACTGAAAGTAAAACTAAATATTTATTTTATTTATTTAAATTACTTGAAAAAAAAAACATCTGAAATAAAATGAAATATATATACAGTAGTATAGCTAGTTGCCAAGGCAATTTAGTTTAACTTAATGTACTATTTTTTCAATTCACAGATAAATTTTGACACGTAATGACATATATCTCTATAAAGCAAATCCCTTACAAAAAGAACCACGGTGCAAGTATATTGACGGGATCAGGTAACGTTAACGGTAACTTAGTACTTTAAGTTACCATCATACAAGATGATTACCATTTTCATGTAACCATGGTATTTGCAAGCATGGAACTGTGAGGTACTTCATTGAAAGCTATGGTACTATATCATGTCTGAAATTAATAGTATAACACCTTTAACTTTTGAAAGTGATACGATGACTTACTCTGTCCAGAGGAGTTTATAACGAGTCATCTCCTCATCAAAGATCAGTGCGCTTCCTGACGCCATTAAAACACTCTGCTCTGGATGATGTTAATAAAAACACTGTATATTATTTATACTGGATGATGTTGATAAAAATCACTGTATATCATTTATACTGTATATCACTGTATAATCATTTGAGTGATTTATAATATTATTCACAGACTAGTGAGGAAGCAGGCGTACTTACATCAAAGTTGTTTGTGTCTTTTTCTTCGCTGTATGAACGGTGCGCGGATGTTAAATTACCGCCCCCTACAGGATTATACATTCAATAACTATCTGAGAAACGGCTTCAAAAAGACTTTAAAAATGTTTAATAAGTTATAGAAAAACTGCTCTGTATGCTAAACTTAAAATGATCTACACGTGCATTTCCATCTGTATCTTTCTTACTGACCATTTGATTTGGGTTGCGTTGTTGTTGTATAGCTATTTGCAAGTCCAAAAACAAGTAGCCTACTATTTTAAATGTCAGCCTTGTATGGTTTTTATATTCACCAAATTTTGATGTTTCTGCAACTGGGGCCACTTTGATCGTGTGAGCTTTTCAATATATTAACTTTCTTAAATGTACACTTTCAATAGTAACATTTGTTTTTTAACTATCTGACAAAGTAGATGGATGCATCAAATGTTTTTTTTTCTTTTCTGAAAGCCCTACCAGTATTATAATCAACTACAATGTCACAACTTCCTTTTGAATAGTAACAATAATATGAAGGCAAAGTAAAAATATGTTCCCAATGCTGTTTTCAATGCACATTATTTAATTAACACTCATATAGGCTAGCACTGTCACATGGCACCCGTTACATTTAGTCAGATAGTGGACCTGAATGGCAAGACACAATGCAAGATCCTTTTTTCTGATGACAGAAAAGCAGAAAGTACCAATAATATGCAGTAGTCAACATTTGAAGTGGATCAAAACCTTCATCAGTTATACATCACATTTTTTAACAATACCTGTACTTGTCTAAGGACAACTTTGATGAACTTTTATGATCCACTTCATTGTTGACTACTGTATGTATACACACACGCACACACACACACACACACATCGTCATAGAAAGTGATGAATATAAATCCTCCATCCTCCCTAACTGTGCATTCACACTGCCGTCGGCAAGAGCGTCAAAGTGGCCGGAAGTCATTCATTTTCAATGAGGACAGGTGTCGTCCCCTTTTAGGGGTAAGTACCTTGGCACGACACCGGCGGCAAGCTCCGTCCAGGGCGGCGTGGCGCATCTTGGACATAGACTGTAAAAACTGTAAAGAAGCCCATAGTTTAGGAAATTAATAGTTGAAATAAAGACGTTATTTATGTTTGTTTTTGCGCATAAAAAAGTATTCTCGTTGACTTGATAAAGTTAAGATTGAGCCACTGTAGTCACTTGGACTATTTTAACAATGTCTTTAATAAGTTTTCGAGGCCGGCAAGTTTCAATCCCTCGAAGCCTATGGACTAATATGGAGGAGTGATCCAGCTCTCAGATTTAATCAAAAATATCTGAATTCGTGTTCCGAAGATGAACGAAGGTCTTACGGGGTTGGAACAACATGAGGGTGAGTAAATACTGACAGAATTTTCATTTTTGGGTGAACTATCCCTTTAAGAACCCCGAAGTGAAAATCAAGTTATGTGCATGTGTGTGTGGTGTTTTAATATGCTTGATAAACCTTGTGCAATTGAATCAGTCAACACCATTGCTGAGTATTTTCTCCTTCAAACTGCAGTGAATCAAACACTGTCTCAAATAAGTGGTTTGAAAAGCCCCTGTTTCACAAACATAGCCTAGTGAACAGGAACATTAGCAACATATTACTGTCTGTTTGATAATGAAGTCAAGGCAATGCTAATCATATCATTTAACATGTGTCCGACGTTGTAGAGAGCGATTTAAAACCAGTGTTGGGAGTAACGCATTACAAAAGTAATACATTACAGTAACATATTACTTTTTGCTGTAACGCAGTAGTGTAAGGCATTACTAATCAATTTTCAGTAATATTTTACTCGTTACATGTTCAGTGAGGCTTGTATTACAGTTGTATTACAGTGTATTGTCTGCTTTTACTTCTTAAAGGCAACAGACTATGTGAACGAAGCAGTCTTTTAGTGCCAGTTCAGAGCGGTCGCGTCTGTAACATTGTTTTTTCCTCATAAATGCGAACACGAAAACTAAAATAAAATAAATATTTTAAGTTCTATGGAGACTGCGCCAACCCTTCCTCATCCGATTTGCGCAGTGTAATTAACAGAATTACAAAAAATATATTTTGCCTCCTATTTTTTTGTCACGCATGAATGTGTGTCTTTTCCCTAATATTAAAAATAAAACATAGACTGATATTTGTCTAATGTCTGGAGTCCTTTAAGGAAGTAGCCTATATACGTTTCAATACATGTATTTTCTGAGAATTTTTATTTCAAGTTTTGACTGCAAATGTCATGTCCATAATGCGGGACCCAAATTTAAATAATTTATCCTCAACTAGTTTTGTGGTGTAGGTCTACGTATTTTATAATGTTAACTTTAAATAATACTAATAGCCTAATTTAAAGATAAGGCAGCATTGGATCTGGACGGTAAGGAGAATAACATGGAGTTGGAAGAGGTGTGTCGCGATTCTGTAGGTTCGTGGATGAGTCGTGTGGCGAATCACGATTTCGGTTTCATATTGCATATCGTTACAGCCCCAAAGTTAAGTTCTACTTAGTTATTTTGGTGAAAGTAACTCAAAAGTAATACATGAGTGATGTAACGCATTACAACTCTGAGACAGTAATATTGTAAGGTAATGAATTACTTTTAAATAACAGTAACAAGTAATACCTAATGTATTACAGTTTGGAAGTAACTTGCACAACACTGTTTAAAACACAGCTGGCACATCGATTTGTAGACGACACTCAGATGGTTATTTCTCCTCTTCTGTATCAGTTTCTGGTTCAAATGTGGCTGAATTAAACCAGTTTTTCCGCTTGCCTCGTGTAGCGATTATTTGACGAGTGGTACAGGTAATGAGAAGTGTAGATATTCAAGCTATTTAAAGCCATGAAGAAATTATTGTTTAAAGGTCATTATGATGATCAAATTTGAGTCTAAATAAATACAATTATTGACTGCAAGAAGACTAGCCTAAATAATCTTCCAAATTGCAACTCTATATAAATTTACATTTTATGCATTTCACAGAAGCTTTATACCCAAAACGACTTGCATTGCATTACATTCTTATCAGTTCTTGCTTTCCCTGAAAAATGAGAATCGAACCCATGACCATGGTGTTGCAAGCGCCAATGCTCCACTGTTTCATATAACTTACAGGAAAGCTGGACTTTTACAGTAATAAATAAAAAAATAATAATATAGCCTAAATGATATTCGTTGTGGGATTAATAGCAGGCTACTTAATGTTTAGGTTTGCCAGGTGAAGTCACTTTTTGAAGTTGTCTGGATTTAAAGATATTACTTCTTAAACATTTGTTTACAAGTTATTTTAAAAAAAACTTCGAAGATCAGCTTTTCACACTTCCTATTCCATACTCGCCCATGCGCGCGTGACTGTTCCGAACTTTAGCACCTGTAAAACACTGACAGATAAACACCACTGACTGCTCGTGCTCGTGAAACTCCTACTTTTACTCCGGAACTCCGATTGAGACCGTGTAAAGTAAAATGGACTTAAGTAGGCCTATGCATTTATTATAATTGTCTTTTCCTTGTTGGTTCATGGTAAAAATGACTTTTAATCAAACTCGACGTGTTTGCTGTTTCTGTGAGACGTTACTTTCACTTTCATATTGGTCGATTCAGCTAATATTGAAAAAAAAAAGTTTAATTCTAATGGGAATTGCTCATACAAATTGTAAAAGGATTGCATAGTAACATAGAAACCTTTTAAAATTCGAAATAATAATAAAACAAATATTATTGAACAAAAATTAAATTGGGTTTCCTGAAAAAAAGAAGAAGTAAAATGCAAGGCTTTGGTCACTTTTGACCGGGAAGAGTTTTAACCCACCGCTAAACTAAGAGGACCAGTGGATTAAACATAACATTTCAGAGAACTTGTAATAAAAATGTTTGTATTTGCAGTTCTTAATGTAATCAGTCAAGGAAGTGTGGTGATATCAAGTTACATTAATTTTCTCAATTAGGAGGAAAAAAGGCTAAAAAAGGGGGCTAAATTGTAATTTGATGATTAAAAAAAAACCATTTCAGTGATAACATGTTTTCAGTGATTATACTATATAATCACTGAAAACATGTTTTTTAGCCCTGAGTTTCTGTTACGTAAAGACTTAGGAAGCAATAGCAAGTAAAAATGTTTATTTAACACTCAGTACACTGTCCAAAGACAAGCAGAATGAATCTCCGTTCACAGTCCTGGGACTACAGTAACTCCTTCCACGGTCGCAGACCAGCAGGGTAGTGACGCAGGGACTCGATGGTCAGATGGATGAGTGCAGGTGAAGCGGGGTGACGAACGACAGACAATCCAGAACATCCACGGGAACACAGACGGGAACAATGAAGGATACTGGAACGCAGGGGATCTGACACCGGACATCACAAACAACGATCTGACAATGGAGATGAGAAATGGGTGAGATTAAATAGACCGGGGTGATAGACTGCAGCTGGTGGTGAGTGATGAATGAGTGAGCTCTGATGAGCGGCCACGCCCCTCTAATAATCACACACACACACAAAACAACAGAAACACGAGACCTGAAGAAGACATAGGATTTACCAACCGTGACAGTACCCCCTTCCCTAGGAACGCCTCCTGGCGTTCCCAGACTCCCTTACCTGTCGATTGTAATCATCAATAAGGGAGTGATCCAGGATGTCTCTAGCTGGGACCCAACTTCTCTCCTCCGGACCGTAACCTTCCCAGTCCACCAAGTACTGTACTCCGCGTCCCCTCCGTCTCGAGTCCAGAATACGATTAACCGAATATGTGGGTTCCCCATCTACGAGACGCGGCGGGGGGGGAACCGGGACTGGCGGATTAATGCGAGCATAAAAGACGGGCTTAATTTTAGAAACATGAAAGACGGGATGGATTCTCCTGTACGCTGGAGAAAGATTCAGACGGACTGTCACCGGACTAATGATTTTGGTGACAGCAAACGGGCCAATGAATTTAGGTGCGAGTTTATTAGAAACGGAGCGGAGAGGAATATCCTTAGTAGAAAGCCACACTTTAGAACCGACGACGTATACGGGAGGCTTCCGCCGGTGGCGATCGGCTTTGGCCTTGGTGCGCACCCCCGCTTGGAGTAGAGTCTCACGGGCTCTAGTCCAAGTGCGGTGACACCTCTGGACAAAGGCGTGGGCGGAGGGGACCGCGACTTCGGATTCCAGACTGGGAAAAATAGGTGGCTGGTAACCTATACTACATTCAAATGGTGAGAGGCCCGTGGCTGACACTGGCAACGTATTGTGGGCGTACTCCACCATAGAAAGTCGCTGACTCCAAGAGGAAGGATTCTTGGACACCAAGCATCGCAGTGTTCGCTCCAAATCCTGGTTGGCCCGCTCAGTTTGACCATTGCTCTGAGGATGGAACCCAGAGGACAGACTAACCGTCGCCCCCAGAAGTTTACAAAACTCTTTCCAAAATTTGGATATAAATTGGGGTCCCCTGTCAGAGACCACGTCCGTCGGGAGGCCATGAATCCGAAAGACGTGGTCAATGACAGTCACCGCTGTCTCCTTGGCTGAGGGTAATTTGGGCAAGGGAATGAAATGGGCCGCCTTCGAGAACCGGTCCACCACGGTCAAAACTACCGTGTGACCCTGGGAGGGTGGGAGGGCGGTGATAAAATCTAGTGCGATATGGGACCAGGGTCTCGAAGGCACCGGCAGCGGTTGGAGTAACCCGTCCGGAGGTCGATTGGAAGTCTTACCCGTGGCACAAACTGAGCAAGCCAATACAAAACTGCGAACATCACGAGCCATGAGAGGCCACCAGAATCGTTGCTTGACTAAAAACATAGTGCGATTTACTCCCGGATGACAAGCCACATTGGAACAATGACCCCACTGAATAACGCTGGACCGTAAACTCTCCGGTACAAACAAACGGTTCGGTGGGCAACGAGTCGGAGGCGTTACCCCTTCTAAGGCCTTCTTGACCTTCGATTCGACCTCCCATGTGAGTGTAGAGATGAATAGATTCTCAGGTAAAATGCACTCGGGAGTGGACGGGCGATCGGAACGGTCAAAAATGCGCGATAAAGAATCGGGTTTGATGTTTTTGGAACCCGGGCGGTACGAGATAGTAAAGTCAAAACGTCCGAAAAAAAGAGCCCACCGAGCCTGCCTGGAATTGAGTCTTTTAGCCGTACGAATGTATTCCAAATTCTTGTGATCGGTCCAGACGATAAAAGGTACCCCCGACCCTTCTAACCAGTGGCGCCACTCCTCCAATGCTAACTTGACCGCCAACAACTCTCTGTTGCCAATGTCATAATTGCTTTCGGCAGGGGATAAACGATGGGAGAAAAACGCGCAAGGGTGCATCTTGTCGTCTGAAGGAGAGCGCTGGGATAACACTGCACCTACCCCCACCTCTGACGCATCGACCTCCACCATGAACTGACGTGATGGATCAGGGGTTATCAGGATGGGGGCTGAAACAAAACAACCCTTCAGTTTGGCAAACGCAGCTTCTGCTGCGTCTGACCACCTGAACGTCGTTCTGGGGGAGGTCAAGGCGGTCAGAGGCGCGGCCAGTCGGCTGAAATTGCGAATAAAACGTCGGTAAAAATTGGCGAACCTCAGAAACCTCAGTAGGGCCTTACGGGAATCTGGACTTGGCCAATCCACCACAGCCTTCACCTTGTCAGGATCCATGCGCACTCCCTCAACCGAGATGATGTGACCTAGGAAAGGAACAGACTGTGCATGAAACACGCATTTCTCCGCCTTGACAAAAAGCCCATTCTCCAGCAACCTCTGAAGCACTCGTCGCACGTGTTGCACATGTTCCTGGAGAGACGAAGAAAAAATCAATATGTCATCCAGGTAGACATATATGAACTGATCGACCATGTCTCGCAACACGTCATTGACAAGTGCCTGGAAGACCGCTGGGCTATTGGACAAGCCGAAAGGCATGACCAAATATTCAAAGTGCCCCCTAGGGGTGTTAAATGCGGTCTTCCATTCATCCCCCTCCCTAATGCGGACCAAATGATAAGCATTTCTTAAATCCAATTTCGTGAAGATAGATGCTCCTTGCAACCTCTCGAAGGCTGAAGACATCAACGGCAAAGGATAAGTATTCTTTACCGTGATGTTGTTCAGCCCCCGGTAATCAATACAAGGTCTCAACGATCCATCCTTCTTCCCCACAAAAAAGAACCCCGCCCCCGCTGGAGAAGAGGAAGGGCGGATGAACCCCGTTGCTAGAGAATCAGAAATGTATTTCTCCATGACCTCTCTCTCCGGAATCGAGAGTGAATATAGTTTGCCCTTAGGCGGAGACGTACCTGGCAATAACTCTATGGCACAGTCATAGGGACGATGCGGAGGGAGAGAATCAGCCCGAGACTTACTGAACACCTCCTTCAGATCCCGATACTCCGTGGGCACGTTTGATAAATCCACCGTCTTCTCCTGTAACATATGAACAGAAACAGACGGACAGGCAGAGACAAGACAGGACTTATGACAAAAACTGCTCCATTCTGATATTGCGTTGAGTTGCCAGTCTATCTTGGGATTGTGACGGGTGAGCCATGGGTGACCAAGGACGATGGGGGCTAGCGGAGTGTCCAGGATGTAAAATGAAATGGTCTCTGAGTGATTGCCTGAAGTGGTGAGAATAATGTCTTCCGTAACCAGGGATATAGTGGGGAGTTTTAGACCATTGAGGGCGTGAACGGCGATCTGATGGGTGAGTGGTTTGAGGGGAACTTGGTGATTGCGTGCGAAATTGTGGTCCATGAAGTTACCTTCGGCTCCCGAGTCCAAAAGTGCATGACAATCGTGAAGGTGGTTGGACCATCGGAGTCTAACCGGAAGGAGAGTTGATGTCGATGAGGTCTTCTCGGCGGAGATCCCACCCGATAGTAGCCTCATACTTACTACCGGGCTGGGCCTTTTAACGGGCAGTTGTAGGCAAAGTGTCCCGCTCCTCCGCAGTACAGGCAGAGGCCCTGGGATCTCCGCCTCTCCCTCTCCTCCCGGGAAAGCCGGGCTCGACCTACCTGCATGGGCTCGGGATCGTGGATGTGACTGACCGCGTCCCCACCTCCGGCACGAGAGCCCTCGGATTCCGCCGAGGAGCGGCCGTTGTATCCTCTCCGCTCCACTCGCGACAATCTGGCGTCCACTCTCAGTGCCAATGCGATCAAATCGTTGAGCTTGGTAGGTAAGTCCATCGCGTAGATCTCTTTCTGGACGCGGTCAGCCAACCCATGCAGGAACATATCCCACTGCGCCTCCTCGTTCCATTTGCTCTCCGCCGCCAGGGTCCGAAACTCGATCGAGTAATCTGACACCGAACGATGTCCTTGGCGCAACTCGGCCAGCAATCTGGCCGCTTCTCTGCCTCCCAAGGCACGGTCGAAGACCCGTTTCATTTCGTCGGAGAGCTCTTGGAACGAGTTACAGCAGTTCTCCTTGTTCTCCCACACCGCCGTTCCCCATAGCGCCGCTCTCCCAGTCAGCAGTGTCAGCACATATGCCACTTTGGTTCTTTCCTCTTGAAAAGTTCTGGGCTGGAGAGAGAAGTGCATGGAGCATCTGGTAAGAAACGCTCGACAAAAGTTCGGCTCACCTGAGTATGTCTCTGGAGTAGGTAAACGTGGTTCCGACTGGGAGGGGTCTGCTGGTGGAATTTGGGGAATCGGCGGTGGAACTGGCGCAGCGGGAGTACGTAGCTGTTGTACTTGCTGGGTGAGCCCGGACACCTGCGTCACTAACGCCTGCACCGCACGAGCAGTCTCGTTGATGTTCCTCTCCTGATTCTCCATCCTCCGTCTGCTGTTATTGACGAATTCCTCCAGCGTCTCGGAATTGCCACTCGCTGCTTCCATAGTGGGTCAGATCGTTCTGTTACGTAAAGACTTAGGAAGCAATAGCAAGTAAAAATGTTTATTTAACACTCAGTACACTGTCCAAAGACAAGCAGAATGAATCTCCGTTCACAGTCCTGGGACTACAGTAACTCCTTCCACGGTCGCAGACCAGCAGGGTAGTGACGCAGGGACTCGATGGTCAGATGGATGAGTGCAGGTGAAGCGGGGTGACGAACGACAGACAATCCAGAACATCCACGGGAACACAGACGGGAACAATGAAGGATACTGGAACGCAGGGGATCTGACACCGGACATCACAAACAACGATCTGACAATGGAGATGAGAAATGGGTGAGATTAAATAGACCGGGGTGATAGACTGCAGCTGGTGGTGAGTGATGAATGAGTGAGCTCTGATGAGCGGCCACGCCCCTCTAATAATCACACACACACACAAAACAACAGAAACACGAGACCTGAAGAAGACATAGGATTTACCAACCGTGACAGTTTCATGTAATCTGTGTTTTTGTTTTCTCCTAATTTACAAAAATAAATTAGTCTCAATTCTCATTTCTTCATTATTTAGTTAACTATTGATGATGATTAACTTAAGTACATTAATGTGGAATTTGTATTATTATGATTAGCATATAAAATTATTTTTAGTACAACTTTCTTGTTAACTGTTCAGAAAGCACATACAGGATAAGTGTGTTTGTTCTTTATTTGTTTCAGATGACGCTGGACATCTCTCAGAGCTGAGGATTGTGTTGATGGGATATAAAGGAGCTGGTAAGAGTTCATCAGGAAACACCATCCTGGGCAGAGACGGGTTTGACTTGAAGAGATCTGCTCAGTGTGTGAGGAGACATGGAGAAGTAGCAGACAGACTCATCACTGTCATTGAAGCTCCAGGATGGTGGAGGAATTACACTGTAGAGAACAGTCCTGAGAGACTGAAACAGGAGATTGTGCTCAGTGTGTCTCTGTGTCCTCCAGGACCACACGCTGTACTACTGATCATACGTGTGGACACTAGATTAAAAGAGACTGAGATAAAAGCAATGCAGGATCATCTGGATCTTCTCAGTGAGAGAGTCTGGAGTCACACTATAGTGCTGTTCACCTTTAAAGACTCTCTGTCAGACACATCTATAGAGCAATACATCGAGAGTGAAGGACAGGATCTCCAGCGGCTGGTGGACAAATGTGGGAACAGGTTTCATGTTCTCAACAATCGCAACAGGAGAGACGACACTCAGATCAAGGAGCTGCTGGAGAAGATTGAGGAGACAGTAGCACTAAACTACGGACGCCATTTTGAAATAGACAGAAAGATTTTAAAGGAGGTGAAGGAGAGAAGAAGAACAGAGGAAGAGAGAGCAAAAGAACGAATGAAGAGAATGAAAAAACAGAGAGAAATCATCAGATCACAGATGAGTGAGTCCACATACTTTATAGTGCAGATATTCACACTGAGTCTATGAAGTAAATCATGAAAATGTAACAGTCACAGCAATAATAACATGAAACTTGTTGTCATGAACCGCTTGTTGAGGCGTTCATGATAGATGTGTTCAAAGCAGTTCACAGTGATGGCTGTTATGGTAAAATTTAGAAATTTAAAATTTTTGTTATGGAAGAGGGAGGGAGGAGGAGGGACGAACAAACCTCCTTTAAAAGAATAAACACCTTTTAAAGTATAATTTGAATCCTGATGTCTCTTTCGCTGTGATGCTGTTTGCTTGTTAAATTGTTTTTGCCACAACACCCATAAAAGCTTTTACTAAAGGAGATAAGCACTTTTATTTCTTAAACAATCCCTTTCTTCACAGGGTTTGCTTTTGAAAATCCAAAATAAAACACAACAACAATAAACAGCAGCTCCTATAGAAACGCCTCATGTTTGTTCTGAAGATCCAGGAAGAGTCCGTCAAACACACTGAAAGTTCATTACAAGTCAAACTACTAGACTGCTGCTATAACTAGATTTCATTTAAGCTCCAACTTAGGCAAAAATATGTCTTGTAAAATCATCATCAGTAAATTTTTCACTCGTGATAGAAGCTATTTTTATTAAACAAAAAATTTTGTCTTACGGTGTGTGCTTTTACCTTAACACCTTTAACCTTATTATTTATTATCCTCAGGTTAGGTTAGGTAGAGTAAAAAAAAAACAATAATATCAAAGTTAAAGCGAGGTCTGTAATCGGCTGTGTTTCTGGCGTGGAGAGATACCGAGAGATATCAGTGTCTGTCTGGTTGTCTTCTCCTCAGTCTTTTATACTCAAACCGTTCACTGCTGATGTCAGACTCTCTTCTGCTGTCATCTATTGGAGAGACAAGTCTTCCATGACCCTTTTAAGGTGTTTCTGACATAGCCTGCCATCTCTTCTTCTTCTTGGCCCTTTTCCTCTTTGTCTTTCTCTTTCCCGTCTGTAAAATATACCTTATCTACAGCTTTACATTTTCTTAAAAGCATTTTTTATCTAATACATAAATGTTCTCTACTCTAAGTTACTTCATATAAACATCTGTATCTACTCCTTTTATATGGTTAAGGATACATGCATATTATCATAGTAATTGGTATTATTTTTTTGTATATCATTTTCCAATACATTTTTGTGCAGGATTACTACTTGCGTTACATAAAGATACTAATAAGCAAAACAGACAAACAAGACAGAGTAATTGCATAATCATCATCTTCATCTACAATGTCAACATGTTTACAGTTTCTGCCAGACTTTTACTGTTTTCATTTTGGTCAATAAGATTTTGTATCTGTTTATGGCACTTTAGGCTGTTTTTCTTTCCATAAAGTCTTTAATAAAAATAATCAGTCACAAATTGTTATTAGTTTTCTTTACATCTAGTGAATGAATGTAAATGTAACACATTTCTGTATTTGCTGGTGCTAATATCCACCAGTGTATTGATAACACTTTCCCAGCTGTGAACACACACAAGAGAGAGATTTATTCACTGGTTTAGAGGCCAGTTGAATTATTTTTAAACAATATACTTTCTGGAAACATTATTCTGAAGCTTTTTGTAATTTAGTTTTGCTTACTCTGTGTGTTCTGTTATCTGTTGTGTTTTGTGTTCAGATCATTGAAATTAAGCAATTTTCTTTTCTATATAATTTATAATTATTGTCCATCAATAACTTTTGTGCAACTCTGATTTAAGAGTTTAGTTAATGTGAGATACACTTATGTGTCGTTTTTAATCAATAATGTGTAGTTTGTCTCATACAGATACAGTAACTTTATTTCAGTAAGCCCTATTTCACTAAGAGAGATTACTGAAGAAGATTTAAGATGTCACTCACTTTAAGATGTGTGTTTGTTCTCTATTTGTTTCAGGTGACGCTGGACATCTCTCAGAGCTGAGGATTGTGTTGATGGGATATAAAGAAGCTGGTAAGAGTTCATCAGGAAACACCATCCTGGGCAGAGACGAGTTTGACTTGAAGAGATCTGCTCAGTGTGTGAGGAGACATGGAGAAGTAGCAGACAGACTCATCACTGTCATTGAAGCTCCAGGATGGTGGAAGATTTACACTGTAGAGGAGAGTCTTGAGAGACTGAAACAGGAGATTGTGCTCAGTGTGTCTCTGTGTCCTCCAGGACCACACGCTGTACTACTGATCAAACGTGTGGACACTAGATTAAAAGAGACTGAGATAAAAGCATTGCAGGATCATCTGGATCTTCTCAGTGAGAGAGTCTGGAGTCACACTATAGTGCTGTTCACCTTTGGAGACTCTCTGTCAGACACATCTATAGAGCAATACATCGAGAGTGAAGGACAGGATCTCCAGCGACTGGTGGACAAATGTGGGAACAGGTATCATGTTCTCAACAATCGCAACAGGAGAGACGACACTCAGATCAAGGAGCTGCTGGAGAAGATTGAGGAGACAGTAGCACTAAACTACGGACGCCATTTTGAAATAGACAGAAAGATTTTAAAGGAGGTGAAGGAGAGAAGAAGAACAGAGGAAGAGAGAGCAAAAGAACGAATGAAGAGAATGAAAAAACAGAGAGAAATCATCAGATCACAGATGAGTGAGTCCACATACTTTATAGTGCAGATATTCACACTGAGTCTATGAAGTAAATCATGAAAATGTAACAGTCACAGCAATAATAACATGAAACTTGTTGTCATGAACCGCTTGTTGAGGCGTTCACGATAGATGTGTTCACAGCAGTTCACAGTGACGGCCCAGAAAAGCTTTTACTAAAGGAGATCAGCACTTGGTAACACTTTATTTTACGACCTGCAAACAACTGTGTAAGTACACTGAAATTACGGTATACATTTCTGTAAATATAGTGTACTTCCGTGTAAGTATAGGGAACAATATGTTAAGTTTTGGGTAATAAAAGGGGTAACAAGCGCCACTTTAATTTACAGCCCGCAGGAGTCACACTTACTCTGTAACTACACAGAACAAGGGGGTAACAAAGCTACTTACTATGTAGCAATACGAAACAACATTATTTGCGCTGTAATTGCAGAGAAAGGTACTGTTATAAAAAAATAAAAATAAAAAAAACGTTTTAATTACACAATATATTTGCCCTGACATTTAAGTGTTATTGCAATTCAATGGTATAAGGTACATTCTAAATTAAAATCATAGCAAAAACAAATTATTTTGACTTAACATTAAGTAATCAAGTAAGAAAAGCCAATAAATTTAATTTTTATCATAGTATATATATATATATACATATATATATGTGTGTGTGTGTGTGTGTGTTTAATGTTTAACCCACAGATGTCAAAATTACCCTGTAACATTGCACAAGAACATATTTTGCCAGAAATGTGATACATTTTACAAACAACAGACGTACAATTTTTGTCTGGAATATATTAACAGAATAGATACCTGTTATTTTTTACTAATTAAATAATTTGCTTGTATATCTGCTTGTTACCCCTTTATTACCCCAAACTTAACATATTGTTCCCTATACTTACACGGAAGTACACTATAATTACAGAAACGTACACCGTAATTTCAGTGTACTTACACAGTTGTTTACGGGTCGTAAAATAAAGTGTTACCCAGCACTTTTATTTCTTTAACAATCCCGTTCTTCACAGGGTTTGCTTTTGAAAACAGAAATCCAAAATAAAACACAACAACAATAAACAGCAGCAAACAGCTTGTCCTGAATATAATCTTAAACACGCCTCATGTTTGTTCTGAAGATCCTGGAAGAGTCCGTCAAACACACTGAAAGTTCATTACAAGTCAAACTACTAGACTGCTGCTATAACTAGATTTCATTTAAGCTCCAACTTATTAGGCAAAAATATGTCTTGTAAAATCATCATCAGTAAATTTTTCACTCGTGATAGAAGCTATTTTTATGAAACAAAAAATGTCAACATGTTTACAGTTTCTGCCAGACTTTTACTGTTTTCATTTTGGTCAATAATATTTTGGATCTGTTTAGGCCACTTTAGGCTGTTTTTCTTTCCATAAAGTCTTTCATAAAAATAATCAGTCACAAATTGTTATTAGTTTTCTTTACATCTAGTGAATGAATGTAAATGTAACACATTTCTGTATTTGCTGGTGCTAATATCCACCAGTGTATTGATAACACTTTCCCAGCTGTGAACACACACAAGAGAGAGATTTATTCACTGGTTTAGAGGCCAGTTGAATTATTTTTAAACAATATACTTTCTGGAAACATTATTCTGAAGCTTTTTGTAATTTAGTTTTGCTTACTCTGTGTTCTGTTATCTGTTGTGTTTTGTGTTCAGATCATTGAAATTAAGCAATTTTTTTTTCTATATAATTCATAATTATTGTCCATCAGTAACTTTTGTGCAACTCTGATTTAAGAGTTTAGTTAATGTGAGATACACTTATGTGTCGTTTTTAATCAATAATGTGTAGTTTGTCTCATACAGATACAGTACTTTATGCATCAGTAATACTTTATGTATACAGTAACTTTATTTCAGTAAGCCCTATTTCATTAAGAGAGATTACTGAAGAAGATTTAAGATGTCACTCACTTTAAGATGTGTGTTTGTTCTCTATTTGTTTCAGATGACGCTGGACATCTCTCAGAGCTGAGGATTGTGTTGATGGGATATAAAGAAGCTGGTAAGAGTTCATCAGGAAACACCATCCTGGGCAGAGACGAGTTTGACTTGAAGAGATCTGCTCAGTGTGTGAGGAGACGTGGAGAAGTAGCAGACAGACTCATCACTGTCATTGAAGCTCCAGGATGGTATAGGGATTACACTAGAGATGAGTCCTGAGAGACTGAAACAGGAGATTGTGCTCAGTGTGTCTCTGTGTCCTCCAGGACCACACGCTGTACTACTGATCATACGTGTGGACACTAGATTTAAAGAGACTGAGATAAAAGCATTGCAGGATCATCTGGATCTTCTCAGTGAGAGAGTCTGGAGTCACACTATAGTGCTGTTCACCTTTGGAGACTCTCTGTCAGACACATCTATAGAGCAATACATCGAGAGTGAAGGACAGGATCTCCAGCGGCTGCTGGACAAATGTGGGAACAGGTATCATGTTCTCAACAATCGCAACAGGACAGACGACACTCAGATCAAGGAGCTGCTGGAGAAGATTGAGGAGACAGTAGCACTAAACTACGGCCGCCATTTTGAAATGGATGGTAGTAAGGAAGCAGAAGAACGATTGGACAAATGGAGAGAAGACATGAGATTACAGACTAGTGAGTGAAATCATAAAATTGTATTAATATTATCAACACACAGACTCAGATGTGTTTCCTTCTCAATGTTCTACAGCTCTTTAGATGTAGTTAGTTTATAGTGTTCATCACACAGACTGCAGGACCAACGCTAACATTCAATAACACCTCTAGCGGAAACAGTCTCTTTTTATCTCATGTCCCATCCTGATACTGACCAGGTTCAACCCTGTTTATCTTCATTAGGAGACCAGTGTCTGTCAAATGCATTACTGATCTGCTCTCTGCTTTCATTATTATAGTGAGTGGAGCTGAAGGATCTGATTCATGGTCTCTGGGAAGTTCTGCTTATAGTTCATTCAAATCACGATCAGGAGTAGACCCGGTTTTCAGTTCATCACGTTCCAGAGATTCATCTCACACAAGTTACGAGCCAGGGGCCATAAAAAAATATAGCAGCATGGAATTTCCTCCAAATAGTGAGTGTCTTTTGTTTATTTTATTTATTTTTTGTTCACTTTTGTCCCCGTTACTTAAAAAAAATCATTACAGCAAGATATCTGTTTTGTTGAGAAATATTTATATTTAGCCTACTTCTTAAATTTGTTACCACGTTTTCCCCATTTGGACCCTTTACCTTTTTCTGAATGTTTTGTGAATATTGTGACTGATAAATTTGCAGCAGTTTTCCCTTATCCTGTTCTTCTTGTTGCTGTTTTTTTAAATTTACCTTGTAAACACGCTTGGTAAAAGGTTTGCATTTATTGATATGAAAAAAAAAACAGGAAAAAAAAACAGTATTTAGCTTGATCTAGTTTGATTATCATCATTTTTTAAGTTAAGTCTGTTATTACTGCTCATTTGTTCTTCAAATTTAAATCTATATGGTCACTTTAATAAGTGCAATATATGGTGATGATCAGTCATAAACTGTTTGTAATATAGATATTTCATTGATAAAACTGCTATAAAACTTTGAAATCCCATCGGATTCATGAAGAATTATTATAATATTTTAAAGGGCACCTCTGATAATGATTACCAATAGGCGTCAATATTTTTAGGAACATTGAAAGTGTTAAAAATCCAGAATTTTGGTCTGTAACAGGTTTAAAACTTTTCCTGATTTTCGTTGTATTTCCCCAGTGAGTGGAGATGAGCGATCGGACACAAGGTCTGTGGGAAGTTCTGCTTACGGTTCATTCAGATCACTATCAGGAGCAGACAGTGATTCAGTTTTTAGCTCATTACGCTCTAAAGCCTCATCTCACAGCTCAGGATTCGGATCTTTGAGATCCATCCCAGAGTCTGAAGAGGGTTCAGGAACCAGACGAACACTTGCTTTGCCCAAGATCTCCAAACTTTTCCCAAGAAGATTAAAGAAGCATGAAGAAGATACTAAGAAGACATGAATAAGATTGAATTAAAGATAAATTGTGTCTTTATAATGTGGACATTTATGACAAGCATCATAATATTTACCTATAAATATTAATAAAACTAAAAGGAATGTGCAGTTGTTTTAACCTTAAAGGGGACATGAACTGAGAAATCTAATTTTCTTTGAAGTTTTATAAATGTAATATAAGATGTCATATTATCATATAAGAAAATGTATGCATCATATCACTGGTATATCATTTTGTTGTAAGTTGAGGGTTTTTAAAGATTTGTTAAATATAAAAAACAATTGTCTTATTTGTCTGTCACTACAGTGCCGAGACTTCAAACTCACCAAAACTTGCGTCAGTTCGTAACATTCATTAATAGCAAATCACTGTACGCTGTATAACAATATATGAAACCTTTTTTTATAATATTCAATATGTTTCAGATGGCAATACTGATTAACAGTTTTTACAACAAACTACTCCATATAAAATATTTCAGATAGTCCAAAAGATCAAGAAAAAGGTTCCTATCCATTTTCAACCGTACAAGAAGCCTTATTAATATGCTTTACAGAAATATGTCATTCAAACACCGTAAAGGTACAGACACATCTGAGATATAGAACAACTGAAGTCCTATACATTACAAATCCCACTTTAGCCCCAAAACCCAATGCAATAAACTTGAAAATACAGTGAAGTGTGTTTAAAATTCATCTTTTAAGTGAAATCCTTTACAGTGTTACAAGAAGTGTGAACAATCATCCCAGAAATTGTGAAAAAGTGAACAAATAAATACAACCCGAGGCTTTATTTCAAAATTGATTCTACAGTCTCTGTACCGTAAGATCCGTGATGACATCACTGGTGTGTTTTTACACTCGCGTCAGGAAGCTCAGATTGAGGCTGCTGGGGATCTGGATGGTCTCGAGGGCCACAGATGAAGGGTTGAAGGGGAAAGTGACTGAGAAAATGATCTTAGCATCCATCAGTAACTGAGAAGACTCCTTACGATCCTTTAATAAATTCTGTGAAGTGGAGGGACAAGTGTTTAACCATGAAAAATCAGACAGTATCAGCTTTAAAATGCATTTAAAAACATTGAGAAATGACTCACCTGTACAGACTTAATGAATGATATAGACACTCTCTCCTCAAACTCATTCACTGGTGTGTACAAGCTGAGGATTTTCACAATCTGTCCCAGAGAAACAGACACAGCAAATCAGAACTAAACTCACGGTATCACTTGAAAGGCTCCATTCACCTCACACACACACACACCTGTTGAGTGGTGAGAGCCGTGCACATAGTGCAGATGGCGTCTGCGTCATCCTGGCTCTTCTTCTTGATCTGCAGAAGCTGAGCCGCCTGAATCAGAGGCTCCAGAGACTCACGAGCTCCACTGCCCTGAAGATCTTTATCCAGCAGCCACTCCTCCAGCTGACACACATTATACCTGTGTGAGGGGGGAAATAATAAAAATGCAAATATTTCAAATATTAAATAAATATATAAATAAACCAGAGAAATGCTGGTTTGCATTTTTCGAATTGTACATAAAATATTTTTTTGTACAATAAAACTACAATACACTGTAAAAAAAATATTGTTGGTTTAACTTAAAATTGTAAGGCGACCAGGTTACTTAATTTTTTAAGTTCATTGAAATGGAAAAATTGAGTTAATACAAAGTAGGAGATTGATTTACCCACCAGAAACTCAAAATATGTTATCTGAACTACATAAATTATTTAAGTTGATTTGACAAAAGAAAAAAATATATAAATCATGAAAATATTTTTTTTACAGTGTATACAATAAAATTATAAACCAACTTAATTTTGAACAATTTAAATTGAGTTGGGCTAATTCAATTTGTCATTTTTAATTCTAAATATAAATGATTGAGTTGGTCAAACTCAATTTTGAAAAAAAAAACGTTATAATTATGAATTATTGAGTTGGGCTGACTTAATTTTGGAAAATTTAAATTGACTTGGGCAAACTTGATTTAATTGAGCTGGGCCAACTTAAATTTGGAAAATTTACATTCTAAATATTAATTATTGAGTTGGGCCAACTTACTTTTGGAAAATTTAAATTAAGTTGGGCTAACTCAATAATTAATATTTTGAATTTCAAAATTAATATTTAGAGTTGTTTTTATTTAGTTGTTTTTTAAACAAAGGTGCCATTATCTCATTTCTGCTCATCTGCTCATTTCATTCCAAATTGGAAATTAACTGATCGGATGATACATGGACCATACTTAATTTCAATATAAAGTTTTTTTTAAAAATAAAATAACAGCCAATGCAGGATGAAGCTATATAACTGTGATATAAAACTAAACATCACTCAAGTGTAGAGCGTCATAGTTTTATATCACAGTCATATAGTTTTTAGACACAGCAATGACACTATAGGGCTATTAAGAGTTGAGGAACCGCCAGTCAGTACCTGATCTGCAGGCCTTTACTCCAGGAGCACATGTCCTTGCGGAGCAGCAAGTTGTTCAGTGTGACGCAGCAGATGAGGTAGAACTGCTGTTTGATGACCTGTCGGACCAGCTCGGTGTCGTTGCCATGCTGGAGCAGCGTGTAATAGAAAACATCCAGCTGTTTCAAAATGGACTCCAGCGAGTGACAGCTGTCCTCGGGGAAACTGGACGTGCGCTTCCTCATTCCTGTGGGCTTCACACCCATCACTCCCTGAACGGTCTCCTGCTCCAACATGGCTGGTGCTGGGATGAGGAAAAGAGGGAATGATCGAGAAGAGGAAGTACAATAAATATTGAAATCTTTATGATTAGAGCATGTGGAGTTACCAATCATGGGGTGAATGATGTTTTCTATGACCCTGATGAGCTGCTGGTAGATCTGGATGGCTAGATCGCTCAGAACCTGGCAATACTCAGACAGGTCAAAGTTTGACAGACAGTGTTCGTTTTGTCGAGGGGTGTTGTGCTTTGTGTAGCCCTAAAAAATGTCAGGAAAACATAAAAATATTAGGTCAGCATTCACATAGCAGTGAACAATTAAATATATTCAAAAGAGAAAACAAAATCCACATGTGAACGCACGGTTCCAAACTTACTCCTAATATTTGCAGCTAGCTTCAACAGAAAGCTAAATGGTTTTACAAAGCTTTTAGCTTAATCGATTTATACATTGTTTGGTTTAGAAAATGGGTCCTAAAAGTGAAAAACTAAAGTAAAATGTACAAGAAACAACACTACCAAACACAGAAATTGACAGCTAGTTAATTCCTACACAGCTAGAGTGTGATTAGCATCTTGCTATGTTAATTCTATTCTGAGAAGTCTAATATTTGTGTGTTTTTTGTGCTTTATTAGAGTTAAAGACAGAACTAGAGTCCCAGCTAAAATAATGGCAAAGTTCTCTCAAAGATGAACAAATATTCTTTCAGTAACATTAACTAAACATGTTCAAAGTTATCTAGTCTTTCATAATGTTCACAAAAATGTTAGCATCATACTGTACATCGTTTATGGAAAAAAATTCTGAAAGGTTTATATATATATATATATGAAGAGTTCAGATGCAAAAGCCTCTAAGTGCCATTTGAAATTTTCTTCTAAAATGATCATTTTTATCAAGCTTGTATATTTAAGTTCAGTAATTTCACTTAAATGGCTTAGAAGATTACCTATTAATTGTCATTTATGTGAAATTACCGAACGTAAATATACAAGCTTGATAAAAATGACCATTCTAGAAGAAAATTTCAAATGGCATTTAGAGGCTTTTGCATCTGAACTCTTCATATATATATATATATATATATATATATATTTTTTTTTTTATATTATATAACTAATTAGAGTCAAAAGTAAAATTCCCATAATGTCTGCCAAATTATAAAATGGAATGTTCCCTTATTTATTTTTTAAGCTGCACTTTGTACGAACAGGGGACATTCAGAAATAACGTTTTCATAACTAAATCTAAATTTTCTGAAGGTCAGAAAAGATATTAATGCTGCTGCTGACATTTTGAAACAATCTTCAAGCCTAAAATGCTTTCTAGGTAGACGGCACACTCAGATATGAAACACAGCCAGACATCATGCTACCTCTTCTCCGCTGTACTGCTTCAGACAATGTAAGAAGCGACAGGTGTTTGCCAACCAGAATGAAATGGTCTCAAAATCTTCCCGTTTCTGTGAAAACAGTCAGTTATTATTGAAAAGTTTCACAGCATCATTTATCATTTATTTTGTTCAATCAGGACAGTGTTTTTTCAAGTAAAGATGTTTCACGGTGATCTCCATGGATTAATATAATATTTTCTGTCTGTGAGTCTCACCTTCAGTACGCTCTTGATGGCGTTGATGGAGGAGTTCAGGAGGGTGGAGACCCGCTGGTCATCGTTGGCGTAGTCGGCGTGTCGCAGACACATGAAGAGAATATAAGCAGGCAGGCCTGGGATCAGATTCACAGCGACACCTCTCGGTTTGAGATCTGGTAGATTAATAACATAAATCAAAAAACAAAATTACCAATCGAAAAGAAAATACAGTCAAAGGCAAATAAATTAGGAGTCCATTTGTCCTTCTTTCCTTTTGTCTTTGCATTGATGAAGCAAAAAAAAACTTTTTTTTTAGTGTGTTGATATTCTACATGTTTACGTTGTTCATATCACCTGTGATGAGTATCTTGAACAGTTTGTTCTCGTCTTCTTTCCTGTACTCCAGCATGCCTTGGAAATCCCTCTCTTTTCGAACGATACTGACCGTGCGACCGCTCTCTCTGACCACGTTCTCTGGAGAGGACTGCTCGAAATGAACACCTGATGCCACCAAAAAAAAACAACATTTCCACATAAAAATCATCCCAAAATGCTGCTCCAACAGTAATTCATGCATAGGCACAATCTATCTACAAAACTAATTGCAATTTTTTAAGATGATAAAAAAACATCCTAATTAGTCCAATCTTTACTTATAGTATTGATATTATGAATTCAAAATAAAAAAATCTTACCCTCAGGCTCCCCAAACTTTTTCATATATATCTTCAGGCATTTCTTTAGTTTGCGGACCACTTTGTCCTGTTTTCCCGTCTGCTCTAAGAGGTCCTATAATTGACAGAAATCAGTTTAATACAGAAGAATATTAATTGTCAGTACATGTATATGTGTTAGTGTGAGTGTATGCGCACCATGTTTTGTTGCGTGAGGCGACTGATCTCGTGCTGCAGGCTTGCTTGTACTCGAGCGTCGTGCGGAAGCTGCAAGCTTTCTGACATCATCTGCTGCTGCTGGCCAAGCTCCGCCTTTAACCGCAGAAGCTCCGC